ATACATACATACATACATACATACATACATACATACATACATACATACATACATACACATATACATTCACATATACATACATATATGTGAACTTATGCATATTGCACTATCAGCTTCATGTAAATTGGGGATGAGATGGATTCTGGTACGATTTGCCTCAAGCATCGGCAATATGAGAAATGCAGGAAGCAATTTGTAAACCGGTTCAGTAACTATTTAATCATATTAACAAGGCAAAAACAAATAACAGTTCATTTCATAAATGAAACAGAAATTCGAAACAACGTTAATTTCCCTAAAGACGGCAACTGTTTCACAAGTGAAGATCACAAAACAAGGACAGCCCCTGTATGATTGGGATCAGATCTGGAAAATACAGATGGATCAACGTCGTTTATACACCTCACTGGTTTTCCTAACGCAAATCCATCAGGTGGCCTTGCAGCTGTACTACCACTACAAACCACAAAAGATCGCTCTGTTCAAAGAAAGGAAAAGCTTAATTTTGCTCAGTGTGTCTCTCGAAAATGCAACCGGATATTTTACCATGTGTAAAGAGCAGAGTATTCAGCTCCATTCCTAGTTTTGCACAGTTCCAAGATGGAAAGGGCTCTTCTACCCACCCCTTCTCCCCTCCCCGTTGCCGCCCCTTCTCCCCCGGTCCCCTCCCCTTCCTTTCCAAGAGCTCGTCCTGGATCTGCCTATGGAGCAAGCCGACGACAGTCTGATTCGCAACACATGCCTACCAATTTTTAGCGAGAAAGATCCATAACATGCACAAAATGACACTTTCCATTACACCACATTCGTCAAAAAAACCGGAAATCGGACCACAGAAAACAGTGTAGGAAAACAGTAGTAACAACAGTAGTTACACGTTCAAAGAAAAACAACAGGAATTCCTATCAAAATGCCTACTACGAACATGCTAGCCCAACTTGATGATCTGGCAATTCCTTTCGCGCATTAAGAAAAAAAACTATCGGAAAATCTTAAAATTTTACTTCCGAATGCAAAACTCTCTGCAAAAAAAAAAAAAAAAAAACATTTTCAAAGAGATTTAACAAATTCGTAGCAATTCATTCCTGGCAGGTCAAATTTCACGGCACATTAGGTATGTTCGACAGCGGTTCCAATCCCAAATCTGTCTCTTTCAAAGCTTTTTGAAGTGTCTGGTAGGCATCGACAAGCACTTCTCGTGGTGCACCCTGTAAACAAATCGTTTTCCAATCGCATCAACGCCCGGAAAGACACTTTTCGTTATCCAGGAGTTGCATTGTTCAAGACAGAATGTTAATGCTTAACACACACTAATGACTTCGAAAGGGCTAAAATTTTGCTAAAGTGTACTGAACTGGCAATTCTTTCAGGAGCTAGAATGGCCATTAAGCGATGCAATATTGGTCAATGCAACTTCAGGCTGAACAATTCCAAAATTACTCCTTAAATGTTCAACGGTTCAAATCATATCAACATGCAGAAAGGCCATGTGGTTGATTTCTAATTGTGTGTTTAAGTATTTCTATGTCTGATGTCGGATAATCCTACAAATTCCTGTACGACTATCCTATCTTCCAGCAGTAGTAACCGCTAAGGACGTATGAAATAAGTGCGGCTGATGGATAAGTTGTTAGAGCCAAACAGGCGTAGAGGGGATGTAACACATCAATAGCGTTTTATTTTGTGAAAGACTAAAAAAAGACGTAAATAAAAACAAAATTACTAGTAAACTGATCACCAAATAATGCAGCTTTGGTCATAACATCTATGGGAAAACTGCTGAAACTGTGGAACGATGACTGACAATTGATCAAAGTATCAGATATACTGATACTATCCAATAACCTTCATTTCACTAACACTTGTGTCACCTATGCTTAAAATATCCTTTCCCTGCTACACCATAGCAGTTTGGCACCTTATCTGTCCAGAACAAATATGTGCTTTAAAGCCTTTTTCTATAAAATGAACAATATA